CCCGCGGCGGCCCGAGTGCGCGGGGCGCGGGCCGGGAGTGGGAGCGACCGTGCGTCTGCGGCGCACTGTGCGGGTCGGCCACCGGCCCCGGGCCCGTTCGGGACCCAGACGCTGAGCGCAGCCTCCAGCCGGGGCGTTTCAGCGGCGGGGGGTACAGCCGAGGTGGCGTTTCCGGAGTTCGGAGGCACTCCTTGACGCGGCTATTTGGTTTTTCTAGTTTTCAACTACCGAAGAAGGTGCTTGGGTATCAGAGACATGAATTACGCACGGTTCCTCACCGCCACGAGCGCAGCGAGAAAGCCTTCTGCCATCCGAGTCATGAGTGAGTCCTGGGCCGGCGCCCCTCCTCCAGGGGTGGGGGTTTCTCGCGGAGCCTCCAGCGGCGGTGCCTACGGTCAGCGCTGGCGCGGGTTCATTCATTCAGCTGTGAACGCTCCCAGGGATCCAAGCTCAGCGTGCAAAGCTGAAACAGGGACAGACTTTGTTCTCAGAGCACTTGGGCCGGAACGGGAGGCGGGGAATTGGGTATCTCAGCTGTTGTGGGACACGTCCTTGGAAGAGAGAGGGTGTGCTGTCTAGAAAGGCTCTTCCCTGCAGGATGAGTACATGTTAGGCACAGGTGCAGATGTGTGCGGAGTGGGGAGGGCCTGGTAAAGCGGGAAGGAGTGAGCGCTGAAGCCTGACGGGCAGGGAGGCGCTAAATGGAGGAGAGGAGGTTTTCTGTGATTGTGGCCCCTTGCTTAACTTGCTCATCGCTCCGCCTTAGTTGGACATCTCCATTCTTTGGTTCCTCCACCAGTGAGGTAGGTCCAGAAAAAGTAATTTTACGTGTTTATTTTAGATTAGTATTCTATCACTAGAAATTGTTCAGCTTTACAGTTTTATTGAATGCAACATATTGAGCTATCTGTTTATGGAAAGTCTTCAATGGAAATGTTTATTCTTCTCTTCCGTATGTATTGTAGCTGAGACTTGGAGCAGGGCACCGAAATCAGTCATCTCCTTGGCTCCTGGATCACCAAACCCCAATACGTTCCCTTTTATGACTGCTGTTATCACCATAAAAAATGGAAAGCCCATCCAATTTGATGAAGGGATGATGAAGAGAGCACTTCAGTATTCTCAAAGTGCCGGGTAGTTATCAACAGATAACATAATTTTGTTCATTTTCATGAGCAATATTCTAATGCCCACTGATAAAGTAACGTATCTTTTTTAACTGGGTATTCCACAGGTAGGAAGGTTTGGGGAAAAGTTTTCAAAGAATAATTAAGAATAATTAAGAGCAACAGGTTTATTAAATGCTTAACCCTCCTCAGTGACTTCTCCTTGACTTTAAATAATGAGAGGCTTATTTCCTTGTAGAAGCCAAGAGAAGGCATATACCATTGGAGGTGAGACTGGAAAAAAAAAAAAAAATGATATAGTTAGGGGAAGAGAAGCAGGTTAGGAGGAAGGAGGAAAAGGACAATCCAGAAAGCAGCAAATTTTAAGTCCTGGGGGGGCTGGATTTTGTAGAAATTGTGTTCCCTTAATAGTTGCAGACGGCTATGCAAATACTTTGCCCTCTGTTCAGATGTCTTTTATTTTTTTTAAGATTTTATTTATTTGAGAGAGAGAAAGAACAAGTGGGGGAAGGGGCAGAGAGGGAGAAGCAGACTTCCCACTGAGCAGAGAGCCCAACCAGGGCTGGATCCCAGGACCCCAGGATCATGACCTGAGCCTAAGGCAGATGCTTAACCAACTGAGCCAGCCAGGCGCCCCCAGTTGTCTTTAATTTCTTTTTTTTTTTAAATGGTACATTTTATTATGCATATTTTATCAAAACAAAAAAGTAGGACTGAGATTTGTACTGAAATATGAAAGGTAGGCCACAAAACAAAACTAGCATAATTCGAGATCTACTTTGTAAAAGGTAACAGTAATCAGAGAAGCAGATCTTTTTTTCTGATTTTTTTTTATTATGTTAATCACCATACATTACATCATTAGTTTTTGATGTAGTGTTCCATGATTCATTGTGCATAACACCCAGTGCTCCATGCAGAACATGCCCTCCTCAATACCCATCACCAGGCTAACCCATCCCCCAACCCCCCCCCCTCTAGAACCCTCAGTTTGTTTCTCAGAGTCCACAGTCTCTCATGGTTCGTCTCCCCCTCCGATTTCCCCCCCTTCATTTTTCTCTTCCTACTATCTTCTTTTTTTTTTTTAACATATAATGTATTATTTGTTTCAGAGGTACGGGTCTGTGATTCACCAGTCTTACACAATTCACAGCGCTCAGCACAGCACATACCTTCCCCAATGTCTATCCCCCAGCCACCCCATCCTTCCCACCCCCCACCACTCCAGCAACCCTCACTTTGTTTCCTGAGATTAAGAATTCCTCATATCGGTGAAATCATATGATACATGTCTTTCTCTAATTGACTTATTTCTCTTAGCATAATACCCTCTAGTTCCATCCACGTCGTTGCAAATGGCAAGATTTCGGTTTTTTGATGGCTGCATAATAGTCCATTGTATATATATACCACATCTTCTTTATCCATTCATAAAAGCAAGCTGGAACACATGCTTTATGACTTTCCTAGCTGGTCTTCTTCCAGTGATAACGGGTAATTTATGGAGTGTCTACAAATTATACTTTATTAAAGTCTTCTTTGTTCTGTAATTGAGAAGTATATTGAAACATAACATGTTATGTATATATGAATTATATGTAATATATACTATAGGTTTTTCTTTCCATGATACAAAGATCTTGAGACTGAACTTCTAGGTAGCCTAGGGAAATTTTCCTAGGAGAACAAAGAATCGATCATGCAGTGAGTGCTCTAATATAAAAGAAAGAGAATAGGCTTTGGAATAAGAAAGATGTAGATTCATATCTCAGCTCATTTAATGAGTCGATTTCTATAAGTCTGTTGCATTGTCTTTTAAATAGGGTTATTAATATTGGCAAAAAACGTTTGAGGATTTTTAAATTGAATGAATAAAGTGCTTGGCATACAGTTACCATTTAACTATTGTCTAGTATTATTAATGGTTTTCAATACTATAAATTTGAAAATATGTTTTATGCTTTAGAATCCCAGAGCTGTTGTCCTGGCTAAAACAGTTACAAGTAAAATTGCATAATCCTCCCACCATCAATTATCCAACCAGCCAAGGACAGATGGACATATGCATAACATCTGGCAGCCAAGACGGTCTTTGCAAGGTAAGACAGAAAGGAAAGGGAACCCCAAATTAAGAATCAAATACATTCATAAATATAAATATAGTCATCTCTCACCTGACCACAAGAGGGTCATGTTTTTTGTTTTTGTTTTGTTTTTTTTATTTGAGACAGAGAGAATGAGAGAGAGAGAGCACATGAGAGGGGGAGGGTCAGAGGCAGAAGCAGGCTCCCTGCCGAGCAGGGAGCCCGATGCGGGACTCGATCCCGGGACTCCAGGATCATGACCTGAGCCGAAGGCAGTCGCTTAACCAACTGAGCCACCCAGGCGCCCGAGGGTCATATTTTATGAGTTACTGGTAGTCTATCTCGTCTTTACTTAGAATTTTAAACAGGGAACTTAAAGACATTCACCAACCGGAATTTTCTTAAATGTAGATCATGTGGTTAATGTCCCAGAGCTATGAGTCATTAAAACAAGATTCCCCTTAAGGAAGTACTCAACTCCTACCAGAAGCTTAATTAATGAGCACTGCTTAATTTCATCTGGCTTAGAGATTCAGGTTACATTTTGATTTATGTAGTTACAAAGTTTCACTAGGATTTTTAAATTCTTTAGAAAACATATCCTGATACTCCTGAGATGAAATGTTATTCCTTTGCCAGTCTGCTTAGGTCATCTGTGCTCAGCCCTGTTTACATCTGGTCTCCTTGGATGTGCTTCTGTAGATCTAGGTCTGTGTCTGTCCCTGACTTCTCTCTGGGTTAGTTCTCCTATTATCTCCCTCTCTCTCTCTCTCTCTCTCAGTTCTCTTTCTCTCTCTCTTTCAGTTATTCCATTGGCCTCTCTCCTGGGTTCCAGCAAGTCCACAGATGTAACCACTCCTGGGGAGTTCCCACAAGAGACTGCACCAGTGGTTCTCAGTCTCATCTGTTTCTTTTTTTCTTTTCTTTTTCATGAATAATTAGTCCTAGATAAAGATTCTCTATATTCAGTCTTCACATCTAGACTAAAAAGGGCTCTTATTTATCTTTTTTTTTTTTAATTTTATTTTTATATATTTATTTGACAGAGAGAGTGAGAGAGCACATGCAGGGGGAACAGTAGAAGGAGAGGGAGAAGCAGGCTCCCAGCCGAGCAGGGAGCCGAATGCGGGGCTCAATCCCAGGACCCCGAGATCATGACCTGAGCTGAAGGCAGACGTGTAGCCATCTGAGCCACCCAGGTGCCCCATAGGCTAAAAAGGGCTCTTATTTGTCTTAAACCAGAGGAGCTTTGTTTTTCTTTTTAGGAAAATGTGAAAGCTGCAGTCTAGTTAGCTTTAATGAATTTTAAATTATTGTGACAGAAAAATGTATTTAAGTAATAAGAATATAATTTTTCCTCCCTCTTTTTGTATTTAATTTGAAAAAAAGGGGAATTAGCTACTGTTTGAGTGTTTACTTGAAGAGAAACATCTGTGATTCTATAGATTAATATGAAAACAGTTCTTTTTAATTAAATTCTTTTCTTAGGAAGGTATACCCCATGAACTTTTCTCCCAGAACGATGCTCAAGACGATTTCTTCATTATCTTTCACATCAGTCATAACAAAGGGAGATAGCATAGATGGCCAGATACACCAATAACTCACTTACTTATAGACATGCTTATTACAGAGGCCTTCGTGGGCATCTGGTTTACTATTCCTTCCAATTTGTTCTCCAAGATAGATGTTATGTTAGGCACCTTTGTCTCTGTCTACCTCTATTAAATAGTGCTACCAGATAATAAACAGCCCTTCTTTTCATTTAGGATATTTGGCATTTTCATGTTCCCTAATTGACATGGAAAATGTATGTGATTAGGTTTTCATTTGATTTATTGGCAATACACATGCCACCCAAGTAATTTGTTTGGTCCTAGGATGTCCTCTAAAGCCTGAATCACTTAGAAACTTTCCGGAGGAAGATACTGTTTGTCATAACATGCCAAAAGCTCATAAGGAAAAGATGAAGGGAACATCCTAGGCCAAACTGGAAAACAAAAGCCAGAACGTCTATCTCAATTGATAATGGCCATACTGTTTGTCATGAGATACAGGTTGTTAAAATGATAGGAAGGAGAGGCTTGAACTGATGATTGTGACACACCACAAGGAAAGAAAAGATGATTCCATGAATTATGTAAGATTTCGTCATAATAGACCCCTTTGATATCTATTGTCTAGATCATATTGTCTGCAGAATCTCTGAAGATTTGTCACGCCTGTCCTTAAATATCCTTTCACATTGTTGATCTTCCCATCCTTTCTGAAACACTCTTCTCTGGTTCTCTCAATATCTCATTGGCCCAACTGCCCTGCCTTTGCAGTGCCCTCCTCCTCTACACATCCATCATTTGTCAAGAGTTCTTCAAGGCTCAGTCCTCAGAAACTCTTCTCCCCTTAATCCACATACTCTCCCTGGGTACCTCCATTCACACCCATGCGCTTGATCATATGCTAATAACTTCCAAGCTCCTTTCAAATCCATGTGTCCCATCTGTCTACCTGGCACCATGACAGGATGTTTCAAAGGCATCTCAAACCAAAACACACTCATCACCTTGTCCCTCTCTGAGAGTTTGTGGTTCTGTTTTTTCAGTGAACAGCATCACTCCCTCTATCTGTCTAGCTCTGTGGCCAGCAATCTAGGAGTCATTCTTCATGCCTCCTCTTCCTCACTCCCCTATAGTCCATGATTGTGTTCTGTTGGTTTGGATTTCCTAAATACTTCTCAGTTCTCTCCAATTCCATCATCACTGTCTGTCAGGCTACACCCATATCTCTCCCCAGAACTGCAGCAAAAACATTCCAGATAATCCTCAAACTTCCCAGACTTTCCACATATATTCTCACTCATCTTTCATTCTTTCATATTGAAGGCAGAATGATCTTCCCAACATGAATATCTGATAATGTGACTCCCCCTATCCAGCCTCTACCTGAAATTCTTACTTGCCTCATGTGGCTTGAATGTCTACATGGTATTTCTCTGCCTACTTCTGTGTGATCTCATTCCACCCTCCTCTTTATATTTCCCCTTCAAGCCACAGAATTATTTCAGTTTCTCAAAGTACCTACTGTGATCCTCTATACCAACTCATCACTTCCTCAAGGAAGCTTTCTCTGATGCCCCGAATTCCCTGAATGCCCAAGTCCTCCTACAATGAGCCCTTATAACATTGTGCATCTATACTTAATAGCACTCACCATTGTTTTTAAATATACATTTATTTGAGTAATTATTTGATTAGTGTCTAGCTTTCCCATTGGACTAGTAGCTCCATGAGGATAAGAACCGTGTTGCTATGCTCATCATTTTGTCTCCATGCCATACACAGGCTTGGCTTATAGTAAATATTTAATGAATTTTCAAAGAAGGAATAAAAGGCATAAGTGAATTTTAGGAGCCAAACCAGTTATCTTACCCTAGAACAGAGTTTGGGAAACTATGGCTTGAGAGCCAAATCCAGCCCTCATCTAACTTTGTAAATAGAGTTTTATAGGAACTCAGCCACACCCATTGGTTTATATAATGTCTTTGGCAACTTTCTCATTATAGAGGCAGAGATAAATAGTTGCAATGGAGACATTATGGCCCACAAAATATGTACCATCTGGTACTTCACAGAAAATTTACCAATTCCTACTCTAGAATCCTAGTAAGCTCAAACTATAAAAAAGGCGTTCTAAGAATGGAAAGAATACTATCCAGACTAACCTATGCTTCTTTTGTTAGGTGTTTGAAATGATGGTTAATCCTGGAGATAATGTCCTCCTAAATGAACCTGTTTATTCAGGAACACTTCAAGCTGTGAGTACACATTTTTATGAAAGGCAACTCTCTTTCTTTTATTTTATTTTATTTATTTATTTTTTTTAAAGATTTTATTTATTTATTTGACAGAGACAGTGAGAACAGGAACACAAGCAGGGGGAGTGGGAGAGGGAGAAGCAGGCTTCCCGCTGAGCAGGGAGCCCGATGTGGGACTCGATCCCAGGACTCTGGGATCATGACCTGAGCCGAAGGCAGCCGCTTAACGACTGAGCCACCCAGGCGCCCCTCTCTTTCTTTTAATAAACAAGAAGAAAACATTACACTTTAGAATTATCTGTCTATGGAAAAATAAAATAGTATCTTCCATCTGTAAACAAGAGCATCTTAAATGATATATGCAAAATATGTTAAATGTGCCCTCTGCTTTATACATTTCTTTTTACAAAGTCTAAATGTAAAGGTGCTAAAATTAAGCTGTGGAAAATCACATCCAGCTTTCTTAATATTTCACTTCAAATGCAACTTCATTTACAAAAACTAATTTTTTCATTACTATCTTTTATGACCACATGTCTAAGTATTGTCATATTATATGTCAATTTAATATAACTATAAACCAATATGGTATAATTAGGACTCCAGTGTTAAATTAATGGGACTATAATGTCCAGAAGGAGGAAGCTGATCGTCTGGCTCTGCTGTGCCCTGCTCAGAGCACAGCACTGAGAAGTAGGTTTGTTTGGGACCCAGTACTTTAGGATAGCCATGGACTGATTTGTGCAGGTCCTTAGGTTAATAGACCTGGAACCAAAGGGTGGAAACTATAGGGAAACTATTTCAACTCAATATAAGAACTTCCTAGCCGTGAGCCTTTACCTGACTCCTGACTCCCTAAGGAGGTAAAGCGCTGTCCATCACTTCAGGTGCTCAAAGTTACTCTCAACTGTCATCTAACACATTCTAGCTTAAAATAGGGGAATGAATGAGGGGACCTTTCTGCTCTGTTGATTCTAACTTCACATTCTCTTTTTTTTTTTTTTTCAAGTTTAGTATTATCTTAATTAATATATAAAGCTATTAGCTAGTCTTAATGAAAGGCATATTTTCTCAGAACTCCTAAGACATGAAATTGGATTATAAAAAATGCTTTTCCAGTGAACAGTCTGGAAAGGAAGTTAAGAAAGCAATTCCATTTATAGTAACAGGCAAAAGAATAAAATATCGGAGATTAAACCTAAGAAAAGAGGTAAAAGAGTTGTACATTAAAAACTACAAAATGCTGCTGAGAGAAATTAAAGAAGACCCAAACAAATGGGAAAACATCACCTATCCATCAATTGGAAGACTTAATCTTGTTTAGATGTCAATACTATCAAAGCAAACTACAGATTCAAAACAATCCCTGTCAAATTCCAGTAGCCTTTTTTGCAGAAATAGAAAAGCCAGTTGTCAGATTCATATGGGATTGGAAGGAATCCAAATGGCCAAAACAGTCTTGAAAACGAAGAACAAAGATGGAGGACTCCCACTTCCTAATTTCAAAACCAACTTCAAAGCTATAATAATTAAAACAGTGTGGTACTGGTATAAGGATGGTTGTATAGACCAGTGGAATAGAATTGAGAGTCCAGAAGTAAACCCACACATCTAGGGTCATTTTATTTCAACAAGGGTACCAAAACCATTCAGTAGAGAAAGAATAATCCCTTCAACATAATGTTCTGGGATAACTGGATTTTCACCTGCAAAAGACAGAAATTGGACCCTTGGACCATATAAAAGTTTAACTCAAAATGGATCAAAGACCTAAATGTAAGAGCTAAAACTATAAAATCTTAGAAGAAAACATAAAGGCAAATCTTCATGACCTTGGGTATGGCACTAAATTCTTAGATACGACACCAAAAACACAGGCAAAAAGAAAAATAAATAAATAAATTGGACATCATCAAAAATTAAAAACTTGTGTGCCTTGAAGGACATTATGAAGGAAGTGAAAAGACAGCCTACAGAATGGGAGAAAATATTTGCAAATCATATATCTGATAAGGACTTAATATCCAGAATATATAAAGACCTACAACTCAATAACAACAACAACAACAAAAACAATCTAATTTAAAAATGGATAAAGGACTTGAATAGAAAATTCTCCAAAGAAGATATACAGGCAGCCAATAAGCACATGAAAAGATGCTCAATATCATCATTAGTCATTAGAGAAATGCAAATCAAAAATACAATGAGATACTCCCTTATACCTACTAGAATACCTATTTTTTTCATGTAAAATAATAAGTGTTATTGAATCTTGTACATTGCTAGTGGAAACGTAAAATGGTACAGCCACTGTGGAAAACAGTTTGTCAGTTTCTCAAAACAACCATAGAATTACCATGTGACTCATTAATTCAACTCCAAGTATATACCCAAAAAGAATTGAAAACTGGAGCTCAAACAGATAATTGTACACAAATGTTCACTGCAGCATTATTCATAATAGCCAAAAGGTGGAAGCAACTCAAGTGTACATCGACAGATGAATGGATAAACAAAATGTGGCATATACATATGATGGAATATTATTCAGCCATAAAAAGGAACAAAGTTTTAACACATGCTACATAATGTTGAAAACATTATGCCAACTGAAAGAAGCCAGACACAAAAGGACAAATATTCTATTACTCCATTTATTTGTTTCTTATATCTAAAATAGGCAGATTCACAGAGACAGAAAGTAAGTTAGAGGTTATCAGGGCCTGGGGATAGGGAGGAATGGATAGTTATTGCTTAATGGGTACAGAGTTTCTGTTTGGGGTAATGAAAGGTTTTGGAAATCAGCAATGATGGATGCACACATTATGAATGTGATTAATGCCATGAGTTGTACAGTTAAAAATGGGAAAATGTGGGGGGGCCTCCGGGTGGCTCAGTCGATTAAGCATCTGCCTTTGGCTCAGGTCATGATCCTGGGGTCCTGGAATCAAGCCCTGCGTGGGGCTCCCTGCTCAGTGCTCAG